CGGGAAATCGGTGCTACCCTGCGAAGTGTGAACACGATTGCATTCTGGCAGCAAAATCGTGAAACTTACCCTTGCGAACACTCACGCATAGCAGGTATTATTACCGCTAGTTCTCCTTCTAAAAATCGACTTACTGGAAGAGCCTCTGGGCTTCCACACTGACAAAGGTTTTCGTCTCCAGACTGGTACTCGCTCAGTAGTCATTAGCAGGAGTAGAGATTAACTTGCCTGTGAAGCCTCTTTCATGCAATCTGTATTGCAATCTGTACAAATATCTCGCCCGCAGGATGGGCAAAGCCAGCTAACAGAGAATAGGCTTGTGTCACATCTATCTATAACATTACGATGTCAGTTCGTAAGGTGATATCACAGAAAAAGTCGATCTGCACCACATGTTGCGCGAAGAGTGAGTTCGCGATACCTCCGTATCACAGCAGAAGTCGACTCAATGGCGTATGCACTCTCAAGGACGGGCAACAGAATATGAGCGATTGCCACCTGGGATAATTGTTGGCTCACGGAGCTTCTAGGCGTCAAGGAACTCTGCACACCTTCTTCCTATCGATGATATCGGAGGTATGCCTCCGGTTGAATACAAGGGGAAGCCACGGATTGGGGCGTTTCATTTTGTGTTGCTCGAACGTGACCGTAATATTTCCAGCAGAGTCGCTCTTTATTCTCCGGAAATCTGCAATCATGTATCAAACGCGGATAAAGAGCAACCAGGGTCACTCACTTTGGAAACGGCATGTGTCTTCTTGAGAGCCATTACCCGCACAAACAAAACATTTCGTACCAGCGCAAGCGAGAAGGCGACTGCGTGCACTATTACAAGTAGTCGTCTGAAAGTACGATGGCATATTATAAGCACGCCGTTGAAGTGTCAAGAGTGAGGGCTGAAGCGCTGAATGTGCGGCAGTAAGCGTTTCAAACACCGAAACGGAGGAAGGTTACGTTCGTACGAAGAAACCCAAGTACTCAAATGTCTAAGCTTCAAACTTCAAAGCTTCAAGATCGATACACGTCACCGAAGGGCGAACATTGCGGAGAGATCGGGCCGATTAAATGCTACCAGCGTCTAATGTCCCAAATGCTTGACGCAAGTGCCCAAACACCCGTGATGTTTCTTTATTTGCAACATTGCCTCTACTCAGCGGAGGAAATTTCTATCCAGGCTTCTCCATGTGCTTGGTGGGGCTTTCTCTGTTTTCGTCGACAGACCTTGTTATATTTGCCTACTCCACATCAAGGTCGGTGCGCTGCCGCTCGCACATAGTGCACAACTGAACTCGTTCTACGGCCTGAAGGCCTGACCACCTAGCTTTTTTGTGACATGAACACTGGCATGTGCACGTTGCCGCAATATTAGAAAGCTCAGGCAACTATGTTACATTATATTATAGTGGCGCTTTCATGTACCTCCTGCTGGCTCCAACGGCCTTGAGTGGCCAACGCTTGAACTGCCACACTATTTCGAAAGCCATCTGAATGTTTTCGGACGATGAGAGCAACAGAGATTCTCTTTTGGATCGGTTAGTGTGCGTTCCGGGGCTTTCGAAGCGGCTGAATGGTTTCTTTACAGATAATTTTAGCGTAGAAGTGGATCCAATGGCAACGGGTTCGCGATTTGCCATTCCACGAGCATCTTGCTGGCGAGATAGTAACAGGGTGTGTACTCACGGCTCTTTATTTTGATCGCTAGTATTCGTGAACCTCTTGCAGTGCGTCGGTTCTTGTTCTCGGATCTGTTCCCTTCTTCGACCTGCACTTTTCGCTGCGACCATACGCCTCTCCGAACTGCTTTTCTGCCATGCTTGTGAGTTGGTTCGTCTTTGTTTTGTAGTCAACTCTGACCTTTGCTCCTCCGTTATGTGCCTTTATCGGCCCTCAGATCCTCCAGTCTGTCACGCGCGACAGCCTTCTGTTTCTGACGTCAGTTTTCTGATGCCGAATCTACGCTGCGTTTGTGAGTCCTACATGAGTTCCTTTCTGTCTTTTGGTATTGTAGTCCCTATCCACAGGCATGCATAGTTCTCTAGCGAGTAGCGGTTCTGCCGTCTTAGGTGCTCCGTGATTCCTCTCGCCGTGGTTATCAACTAGCATTCACCAATAGGTTAGTCCGTGCGCTAAGTCAGTAACCATTAAATGGCACAGGGAAGTCTGTCTTGCTTTCAGGCTATTCTCGTCCGACATCTTCATGCTAATTAAAGCAAGTTGCCCGGCAAATGTGCAAGAGCGCGCTTTTCATATTGCAACCGATAAGAGGTTTTCGGGAAATACCATTTCCCCATGCATTTAACATGTATACCTTCGATGACACTTTCTGGTCCATCCCATGCAAGAGGCCGAGCTCTGAGCCATGTAGCGCACACATCAACAGTTGCCACCTTCTTATCTGCGCTTGAATAAGAACACCGGACCTGTAAGCAAACTCAAGTAGGCTAAGTAAATGCCTTTAAGGTGCTCAGAGGTGGACTCATTGCGTTATCAAAGCCAATAAGGAAAAAAAGGGAAATCGACTAAGCTGCCAAGCATATCAAGACGCACAGAACATTCAAATGGGCCCTTACAAAAATTTCGATCAATTCTATTTCCTGTATACATGTAGGAATCGTCCTGACTTCCGCGAATTCCGTCTCGTTGAGAAAATCGACTGATAGTTCTCAGACTGCACCTCGCCGATCCTCAGCTTAATCCTGCGAAAGGCCTTCTGATTGTTTCTTTTGATTGTCAAAGAGACGGTGATATGATCCTTTAGAGTAATTGGTGTTTCTGCCGAGTGCCATTGCATGGTATGAATAGACAGGACTCACTTGTGCGCAACGCTCACAAAACCATACAGTCGGATTGCTGAACATGAACAGGCTCAACAAGTAATGCACCGGAGGTGAGCAGAGCCATACCCTAGGCTACATAATAAGAAGAGATACAGCGGCGAGCGTAGGGCTCAAGAGGCTGGAGATCTGTGCAGTAAATCCAGCTGCACCTGGAAACTGACGTAGATGTTAGTGCGGTCGACGGTCGCGCTCCACCGCAGTGTGAATCCACGGTTCAGAACTTGATTGAGATCAGAACATTGTGCATTTGTCGGTTTCTTGTAGTGCATCTCGACTCCGCAAAACCGGATGCCTTCTCCCAGAAGAGATGTACGTATACACTATGAGCGCATATACAGCAGTAAGCATCAGTAAATAGGTTCCCTCGAGCAGAGTGTTTTCAAGTATACCTGCGACGCCACCGAGCGCGGCGATGACACCAACACGGCAGTTTGTGCTCCCTGTCGTACTTCTCCACCAAGTAGGCGAGGATCGCGCCCGATGTAAAAATGTACCCGCAACTCACCCATGATGTGCACGCCAAGGATGAGGTCCGTCTCCTTGATGAACTTGATGAGATCCTCGGTATTGAGGTTCACCCGAACATGTTGCCATTGACATTGACGGCGACCAGATCCGGAGCTCACGGCTGCTGCTGCTCACAGGAGTCACAGCAATGCGATTGAAGTCTAACCTGAATGCGAAAAATTTTAAGATTAGTCGAATTTTAACAAAATTCAGTAGTGAACATGCTGACCGCGATCGCTAGTCTGCGGTGATCTAACGGTACCGGTCGACCTTCTCCATCCCATTACTTTAACGTCAGTGCTGTGCGACCTCGCCGAGGCGGATACTTATGGCGTACCATTCATAGAGCATACAGCATAGCACAACAATAATTCAGCATAGATACCACCTTGCAGCATAGCATAGTAGCCTAGCGGAAATACTATTAGAAATTAAGAATGTTTGCACCCAGGTATATGGTGGCAGAATGGGCCAACCATCAAGATTTCACCCACCGGTGAAAGTGATTCGCAGAATGGCATGAGAGGGACTACAATAGATTGACCTATCCTCGACATTCCATTATCACTTGACAGGACACTTGTTTGAACACTTGATCTGCAGCGATGTACGGGCTCACTGAACATGATGCCGAACGAGACAGAGAACATGTTCATGATGACTGGAGGGGAGTGTGGTCCTAAAGCACGGGATGGCGTAGCATTCCGCTCACTCCTGAGGCCCTGCACTGCTCGCCCAAGAGACAATTTACAAATTTACATCGACTCCACTTCGACTTGGACCACGTACGGAGGTGTGGTCCACTCAGCGCACTCACTCGCCATTTTCGCGAAGCAATAACAGCCATAAGGCACCCGTCACTGTAGTACAACAACCAGACGTGAGTTTACCAGTGTGGGACGAGCGCGCAGTGCGAGAGGATGGTGCCCACTGCCCTGCGAGGGTGCATGTGGGAGCGCGCCATGCCGGGCTGATCCTCCGCACGGCACGGCGTTGGGAGATGGGAAGGAAGGCGGGTTATTTCCGCTGCATGGGCAGACTAACAGATATCATTAGAACTTCCAACCAAGAAACAGGATGGTAGGATGCGAACCATGTTTTGCGCGACTGGCCGCAGACAGGGGTACAGACGATCATTTGCGAAGAATAGACACCACCAAAGTCGTAATGCACAAGTAACAGGATAAGAGCGGCGAGAACAGACCTCTTCGACGATGACATACAATCTCATTCTCTGATGCTCCATCTTGTGTGCGGGCTTGGTCGTCGAAACATCAGATGTTCCTGGTCATTGCACTGCATCGACATGGGTGGACGATCGGGTTGGAACAGAAATGACACTGCCCCGTGTTGCGGCGTGCAGAGCAGGCGTGGGCACAACCTTTTAAGTGGCTTCGCCCAGTAGATTCGCAAGTCGGGATTCCACCTGTGCATGCTTTGCGCGTAAGAAGTACGCGTGGCAGGAAGAATGGGGATGTACCTAGGGATATCTCGTGTTTACCGCGCAAGGACAGCATGTCACTAAGGCTGGAGACCGGGAACAGGCAGCAGGGGTGCGCGAATAAGGATGACATGGCATCGCGCTAGATCAGATATGACGATGACGGAAACTCTCACTCTGACTTCTTGTCGACACACCTCGCGGGCAGCGCGCAGTCATTGGTGCGCACACCTCCGCCCCACGGGGAGCGCCCGTCGACCGTCGACGCGGGCGTTCGGGCCCAGGCCTCGCGAGACGAAACCGGCGTAGAGGTCACAATAGTTCTCGCCGCCGGTGAGTACCTCGTCCGCATCGAGAATCGCGTCGCGTGCATCGAGGAACGAGGGGCGGCACGCCTGGATCTTCATCCCATTCAGGACGAGCTGCACGATGAGCGAGTTCCCATGCTTGAGCACCAACGGCTTGCGGTCGCCTGTAGCAGTGAACTCCGTGGGGCGGTAGAAGTCGCCCTCAGGTACCGTGCCGTTCTCCAACGTGCAGGAGGGAAGAGCGTGTCGATGAAGCCGTACTTCGAGATCGGTTGCTGCGACACCACCCAGAGGATCTCCACGTGGTCCTCGCCGATTGCATGCACGCCTCAGTAACCAGGCTTGTCTAATGTCTGGTATGTTGACGGGTTGATGATATTATTCTAAGAGAATGTCAGTGTGATTGGCCCGCGCAGACGTGCATAACAGACATACCAGAGAGTAGGCAAAATTCCTGATGCCGTTCTCCCGATTCGCGGCCCAAGAGCCCATCGCGTACTCTGAGTAGTTTCTAGTGCTCCGAATCGTCGAAGCCAAAAAGTCTGCGCAAGTCAGCATCGACGGTGACGACACGAACGGCAATACTCACCCCCCAGCCCTCACCCATTCCACCGCACTCACCCCAGCCGAGACAGCCAGAGTTCGCGGGACCACCCGTCAGACGCGTGCTCAATCCGTGGCTCAGCTCGTGGATCACGATGCCCGCGTCGAGCTCGCCATCACGCTAAGGGTTGACAGTATTCCACAAGTACATCCTGCAGCACCCGTTCTGACCGTCAGGTGGTGTCATGAAGTTGGCTGAAGGTGCGAACAGTCAGTATAAGGTAAGCAACAGACCACGGCGGTACTGACCGTTGTTATGCCCGCTGCCGTCCTGCGCAGCAATTATATATTTGTTTTTTTTATTTTATAGACCTTTGGCGACGTCAGCATCGCTCTCCTCACCGACACGGCCGAAATTGTGCTGCTGGAAGTTGCCCGACACCTCGTCGAAGCTATAACGGTAGTAGAGATCGTGAACCAAGTTGGACATGTAGAAAAGCGACGTGACCGAGGCGTTGACGTACTTCTTCGCCTCGTCGTGAGTCCGTGCGGTTCGTCTCTTTGGGAGCGTACATGTAATTGAAGACCAGGTCCACGCCAGCATCCTGGCGATAGTTGGTCTGCCAGCTGTTGCGCCCTTCCCAGTTCTCATGGATGAAGACCTACAAATGACGTCAGCCGCGCTGGAACTCATACGGTCAGTTTACCCACGTTGTCGCCCCACGTCGTCGTGGTGATCCGCAGCTTCTGGCAGTCCTCCGGTTTGAAGCCAACGGAAACAGGGTCCACGTAATAAGGCAAAGAATGCCATCCAACGGGACTGGCCAGTGAGTCAAAGTTCTCCTTCTGAATGGAGCGGTTGCCGACCGATGGGTCGTTGATGCCCCACCGGCGCGACTGGCAGGGGCAAGTCTGACGCCGTCTGAGTAGTTTCTAGTGCTCCAGATTGTGGTGCTCCGGATCGTTGTAGCCAAGAAGTCTGCGCAAGTCAGTATCGACTGTGACGCGACGAATGGCGATACCCACCTCTCCAGCCCTCACCCATTCCACCGGGCTCACACCAGCCGAGACAGCCAGAGTTCGCGGACCAAGCGTCAGACAGAACGACATCTCCGTGCGAGTGGGGGCATGCACCTCCTGGACTTGTCCCACCACTCGAGCTTGGCGGTGGCCTCGTATGCACATGTGTAGTGCGCGACGGTGGCCATGGCAGTGAGGTCATTGTCGTGGAGGATCTGCTTCATCATTGGAAGGCCTTCAAGTACCGCAGTATATAACTATCACAGAGGCATCAGTGACGCGCAGTGTATTTCAAGGTTACGCACGACGCACCCAGATGGTCTGGCTCTCGCTGATCTGCTTGGCAAACCTTGAACGCCTCCTCGATCTCACTGCTAGGCCCTGTCGCAGCCGCCTTCTCGATGGAAATGGCGACGCCGTGGAAGTGGCGTGGAAGTGGCGGAGGATCTCGAGCTCGATGTCGCGCCCGGTCTGCGTGGTGCCTCGGAACATGGGCGGGGAGCCGACGATGACCTATGATGTCCGCGCGCGGCGTGTCCTTGCGCGACATGAACATGGCGATGCCGGTCTGCTTGGCAAACCTTGAATGCCACCTCGATCTCACTGCTGGGCCCTGTTGCAGCCGCCTTCTCGATGAACATGGCGACGCCGTGGAAGTGGCGGAAGATCTCGAGCTCGATGTCGCGCCCGAGCTGCATGGTGCCCCCATAACAAGGGCGGGAGCCAGCCCACGATGACCGCGCACGACTACCTTGCGCGACATGTGCTTCACTAAATCGTCCAACGTCTTGAACAAGTGCGCGTTCTCCTACACGGTGCGCATAAACATCTCACACTTCTTCTGCAGCACCGCCGTCACGCGATCGATGGTAGGGTCGATGGTAGGGTCGATCAGCGCGGTCACCTTGAGGCGTGGGCCGAACTTGCTGTGGGCCTGTGAGCAAGTAGTAAGGATACAAGTTTGAAGACTCACTGTTCAAAATGGAATGAGTGTTCCAGGCTGCTTCATCCGAACCTGCGAACCTGAACCTGCGTAGAAATGGTCAGTCACCAGACGGATCAGAGATGTATTGTATAGCACCAAACATCACGTTTCCCATGCCGAAAAGACAACATTGAAGTCAGCGACACTGCCGACATGGGAGACCCTGGAAGGTTGGTGACACTAAACTTGAAGAGCGGCTCAGAGAATGGGAGGCAGAGGCTGTGAGAGAGGACGGATGCTCTGAATAGCTTGAACAGTCATATACAAAACCAGGAAGCGCGCACCCAATTAAGTCGAGTCGCCAGATCTAGATAAGAGATCTACCGCCACTTACTCCTTTGAGAACCCCGCCGATGCATGTAGACAGAGAAATTCTGTAGGTCGCATCTATGTATGGCACTAGCTATCTATTTCACAGGGACAGTCGCCACATGAACGGATGAATGAGCTATCACGGGTGCACTCTATTTGATTGCAAGCCAGTATTACAATCCAAACTCACCAACAAAAGCCCTCCCAGTGAAATCCTCGTAACGTAGGTCGAGAAGTAACAGTCCACAAACCATGAAAGCATGGTATGTGATTGGTCACTATACCAGAACTCAGGTTCATGACATGGCAATGTGACATTATTGCCTCGGTGTATAGAACGAGCGGACGAGAGAGTTAGCTCTGACGTACTCTCTTTTTATTGAATAATATACTATGCATGTACAGACACAACATGGTACTGTATGTGTGAAATGTACACATACTAAACATTCAATGGGATGCAGTATCATTGCATAAACGGTTTATCTGAGGGAGCAAAAAAATGGGAGAGACATGGCCTGTCAGCTGTCGCGGTACTCGGTACAGCGTTCACGTTCAGGATCCAGGACATCCACGCATATTGATGCCAAGAGCATAGCGAAGTCCGTTGAGCAAAAGGTATCCTTAGGATGAGCATGGTGAACTTAATGACTCTGCCAGACCTAAGGTGTCTCGTGTCAAGCTGAATTCAGTGGCCGAACAAGGTCTTGCCTACGTTCCAGGCAATGATAAGAAGCTTCAATTTAGGGAAGACTGGAATGAGACGCAAGTTGAGACTTGGCTTGAGTCTCTGCTGCCTGATGCATTCAAGCATATTGTGAGAACGGTGAGCTGGGTAATCGTGGATGGGTTCTTTGTGCTCGAGATGGCGGAACAGTGCGACTACTTACATTTGATCAAAAGCTCACAACTCCTGCCAGTGAGCTCTTCGGGAATCCCAAAGTCGTCCAAAACCAACCAACCAACCATTAAACTGCGTGAAAGACCAAAACCACGTCAACGTTTCGTGTTCCTCTTCCTCTCTGGCATCGTTCCTGAACCACGTGGATCTCTTTCTACGTTGCGTTCAACGTTCAACGTTGAAACGTTGGGAGAACTCGCATCTACAATGGTCAGGGTATGTATGACTTTGTGAGCGCAAATGCTGCCCGAAGGTACGGCTGAGGCTTACCCTAACTTAGGGCCCGTTAGGCATGGAAACATTTGAGTCAGCAAACGCTTTCGCAACACAAACACCCAGAAGCCGTGAACCCGAGTTTGTGACGGCCTGTGACTGATGAGTTGAGTTATTCCCCGCCGCCGACATTCCCGCCTCGCCGCCTTCGACGACGGCAATGGGCATGAGCATCCGAGAGTGCTGCTGCATTGGTAGAACTCAGCAATACCATCGAAGAGAGCTTGTGGTACTCTATTATGCCAAATTCATATCTAATCATCTAGTCAAGTCTTATTTGATGCATCCTAATCCACCTGCTCATCGTTGGCAACGACGAGCAAAGGTAGAGGCACGACGAGCAGCGATTCCCGGTGCCGGTCAACACGGTCGCCTGGAAGTGGGGCGTGACAGCGGCAAGATCGGCCCGTTGTGTGCATCTATTTGGACGTGTGCGTGAACGCAAACGTTTTGATACAGGTTACAGGTCTTTAAATTGTGCTGGGCGTTGTCTCAAAATTTGCCGCCGCCTTCTCTGCTTGTCATCAAAACTATTGCGAGGTCATACTGGAATGTGAGGCATTGCGAACATGCTCTCATATACCCAAGAAGGTGTCGGCTCCAGCTACCTTGCTGCGCTGGTGTTGGATATGTACAGCCAACTCAATACATGGAAAGGGTGAATGCCTTCGTGTTTTTTTGCCTTATTTACACTGCTGTAAATGGCCGATCGCGGTGCGCAGTGCCGGAACAGCTGACAGGCGTACATAAGTCGCGGGTACCTGGCCCTGCATTCTGGGCACATGTGGGCGACTCTGGAGTTTTCGCGTTCTGAGAAAAGGAGACTACCGGAGAGCGATGTAACTATTAGTACGACAATCTGACGTGGCAACCGCACCTCCATCTTACTCCACCTTAAACTACGCCAGGATAAACAATGGGAATCAGCGGCTTGTGGAGTGTAACTCTTTCTTTCATGTTCCTCTGCACATACCCTGAACGGATGGGCGCAGATTGTGAAGCCCGCGGCTGAAAGGTCTCAACTGCTAAATCTTGTTCTGAGGGACTTGAACGTTACCGCTCCCTTAGAGCAGAGGAAAGTGTATTGCTTGGGAATTGACAGCAGGTGGGTCTGCTCGATGTTAAAGAGTATAACTTTGAATGTACATGGCAGCATCTGGTTCAAGCAGTCGGAGAGCATAATGAAGCATGCCAGATGGCAAAAAAGAAAATATTTACAGCTTCAAGTTTTGTTCTATAGGCTGGAACGACTCTTTTCCCTGCCAATCACTGTTCTTTTTGTCTTCGACGGACCGTCTCGTCCTGTGAAGAGGGGTATCAGGGTGATCCACAAAGAACATCCTCTGACTGCAGAATTCAAGCTCCTACTGCGAGCATTCGGGTTTCAGTGGCACATGGTAAACATATTCTGAGTTTGTATCCTGTATATTCTGCGCAGCTACACGTTTTTTTGCGCAGGCTCCTGGAGAGGCGGAAGCTGAACTTGCTTACCTGAACCAGCGAGGGTTTGTTGACGCCGTCCTGACGGATGACAGCGATGCCTTAGTGTTTGGTGCAAGAGTAATCATCCGCAAGTAAGCCTTCGCATCTCAAGTTTTTGTTCACGCCATTCACTTAATGCGTTAGCCCCAGCATCAGATCAGACAAAAATGAAGCGGTTATCTACACATCTTCTGCGGTGCATGACAACCCACAGGTTACGTTGTCTCGCGGGGGTATGCTTCTGGTTGCTCTTCTGAATGGGGGCGATTATGATCAGGTGCGTGCGCTACAAGTTTTGCATAGGTAGTAAGTCACAGCGTGCCATCCAATAGGTCGGTCTGAAAGGGTGCGGCGCTCAGATCGCGCACCGCCTTACTCGCTACGGACTTGGAGACATCTTACTTGCAGCCGCGACTTCCAAAGATGATATTACTTTTCAGATATTTCTTGTTGGATGGCGGGAAGAGCTGCGTAGGGTGTTGCGGACCGATCCTTCTGGATTCCTTGGCCAGCGCTATTGCAAGTTGGCTGCTTCCGTTCCAGAGACATTTCCACGTCTAGAGATCCTCTACGCTTACGTTCACCCACTCGTCTCCAGCACAAGCGACGGACCAAAGAAATCAACAATCCATCAACTCTTCGCCTTTGATCTAAAGGAGCTCGCTCAAATTTGTAATAGGCACTTCAAATGGGGCGTTGTGGACGGAATCGTTCAACATTTCAAAAGGCACATCTGGCGAGGAGCATTACTAAGACTTTTGATATCCGAAACTTTCGCCGATTACTCAGGGCAGCCCTCAGCATCTGTGTGTACGTTTAAGTTGGAGCAGATGAGAGGTCTGTTAACCCTTTACACAGGAGATTAATGCCACCATTCCTTCTATGGGCATTGTTCAGATGCGCTGCTCGCATTCGGCATCCGCAGAATACAGAGTGCGGTATCATGGCGGTGTATTTGCCACAAACACTCTCCGAGGATTAGGCGGTTCCGGGGTTTGTGCGTCATCAGAAACGTTTTGGGAGTCAGCCTGGGTGCCTGCACAGGTTCTTACTCGAGGCAGACTTGAGTCACTACTTCAAGCGCATGTTGACCCCATGTCGCGCAACTTGACTAGGGTAAGCAAGCAGGCCTTATTATAATTATTGCTTCACAGCCTTAATCGTATTTCCATTCACAAGGATACCTCAAGCGCATTGTTTACAATTGTGTCAGCAAGGAGAGCTAATCTACGCAACCTCACGAATCCCGTTAACGAGAGTCCTGTTGACCTGCAGTGTTCTGCTACACCACCCACTGCTTGCACCTTCATTGATCTGACTACAGACAACGAAGACGAAGTTATCGATCTCACCACCACTATTGACGACTAGCTTACAAACCGATCCTGATATAAATCTGTACCAATTCCCGTCACTCGAAATCTTTGTCTTCCGTTCTTAACTACTGTAGCCCGCGTTCGGGCCTATAAAACAAAGTGCCGACAGCCGTGCAACACCTTCAATGATGCTGCCTGGACCATGTTCCCGTGTCGGTGGAAGCGCGCTCGCAGAGCAACCGTCTGTCGGACCCCACGAGGTGCTGGTGGTGAATACTTGAATGGTCAACGTTCATGAAGGACTGGAAAAACACACAGCTATAATCCAAAGATTTTTAATATCGATGAACGAGTAATTAAGTAGTACTTGCAATGAAATAGTTCAGTATGCGAATGAAAGAAAAGACAGTGCCCATCACTACACTGAAGGCTGTCTGAGAGATTCGAATGTGGAACAGGGGCTGAGACGCATCTTCCAGCGCTCTTCCGACTGCACGGCTGTGTTAGTTGGTGTGTGCGATAGATTGCTGGGACTCTGAATTATAAAGGCGTTCGGCATACTATGGATGGTGTCAACAAGATAGACGGTACCCTTTGACCCCCTCCAAATGAGACACTGGCAGCGACAGCAGGAAAGTGGCCACAGCGATGTTTCATATCCTTCTTGGAGAAGTCCATCCTACTCCTAGCCTCATCGATGGCTGTTACGGCAGCAGTGTGGACCGAAGTCCATGACGGATCATCAGGGGCACCACACAGAACACCAATGACCCTACCACTGTCATCAGTAATGGGTTTCGCGGTGCCGCGGTGCAGTTTAGTAGAGGGAAAATGTAGACCCAGTGGATACTCACCGTCCATCTCAGTGCTCAAGCTTGAAGCCATACTTGGAGCCACTCCCAACAGGATGTTCCAGCCTGTATATCTGAAACCTTTTACATTTCTCTCGTGCTCCTGTGTAGCCGTTCCTCGTACGCGGCAGCTTGACTACTTGAAGGGAGGTCTGGACAGGTTCCGCAGGCTCGACGTATCGGCTGACGAAGGATGGACGCACTTCGTACAAGCCATATGGAGCACTCGCTTTTTTCCTTGCACGCCGTGCAGCACGTCGCGCATTTCCCGTCACTTTGGGCCTTTGACTCTCGACAGTCTCTGAAGGAATAATCGGCCCATCCAAATTCGTGGCTGATTGTGGAATACTGACGTCGAAGGTGGGACGGTTCGAAAGTAGAGAAGGGCTGGTCTTTTCAATAGTGTGCGAGCTGGAGCCCGCCGCTGCAACGTCCGTGGCCTCTGAGATTTCGGGCATGAATATTGAGAGTGCCAAGCAGGGGACCGTGTCAATGATGCGATGGCTCCCAGACTGATAGCCTAGTGTCTTCAGATACAACGGCATTCAAGACAAGGGTGGCGAAGTCGAATTGCGCGCCCGACGATGGTTTGACTGTAAGGGCACATGGTTGTTAGCATAGTTTCTGCGGCGGTTGCCCTCCTGGGGCCAGAGAAGCCGCGATTCAACCCGAAGTTCCAGGCCTGAATCCTCGTAGCGTCCTCGATAGCAACTCCAGCCTCCTTTGATGGACAAAAAAAACAAGACGTACCGCGAAGTAGGTTAGTCCAGCCACGCATGCTGAAGACGTGTCCTCCCGAGGCAGTAGACTCGCCGGCAGGGTAGGTCAGGGAGAGGAGTGGTGGGTAAGAGAGTATCCGGGAACTCGGGCGCACGAACGTTTTATAGACTGACTATTTCTCACCGTTGACGCGTTAACAACGCGTCGAAGAACGTCACACCTGTGACGAAGCGCGTTAAGAGTCACGCGCGGAAGCAGAAAGCAGATTGCGTGACGCGCTGATACCTCGTTGGTAGCGCAGTCTTAGAGTCTATTCTACGATAGCTAAGGCCTAAGGCCCATGGTCGGTAGCCCGAGGTCTATGAGTTTGCTCGGAGAAACAGCGGAAGAGGCCGAATGTGACGAGTGGTAACCCTCCGAAACCTCCGAGCATGGCGCCCACCGTATGGCGGCCTGTTCTGGACAAAATACAAGCAGATGTACAGGGGGCCCTCGACCTTGTATTCACGCCAGTTCACGCGCATTCATCCGAGTGCATCGTGCACGTGACTGTGCATCTGCAGTCATTTGCATGCATTCAAACGCATCGGGGCGCATTGGGCCAAATACAGCTCCTCTGCATCGATGCGCATGAACGCATGCATCTGGATGCATGTGTTCTCATTCTCGTTCTCGGTCCCGGATGCACGCATCTGCATGCACCCATGCGGCATCGAGTGCATGTCGCTCCTGCCTCTCCGGTGAGCCACCTTCATCCCTTTGAGCACTTGTTTCTCTGCTCCAGGAACTTGAGGGTCCGCGATATGACAGAACGGTTGGACAACATCCGTCGAGCCTACCACACCCTTGGAGATCGGGTGAACGTTACTCTGCGAACACAAGTTGGGGATGTACAGCGATTGAGAATTGTACGTTCTCAAGCACTCTCGCTTGCCTCTGCTGCTGAAGTGGTCAGTATCTCTTCTGGGGGCATGTTGAACATCCACTGACCATCTTCCCAGCACCGCTCTGTCATTCCTCCGGCTGAACTGGTTCAACTTCGGTCCAACATTGCTGCCATTATTGAGGACCTGGACGCGGCTTCCCATCGTTCGTCCGATCCCGCTGATAGACCCCCTCTCGAGGTCGTCAAGCGAACTCGCACTGGCACGCGGGGCCGCCCAAAGATCACCATTGAGCCGGCCTTCTTTAAGTTCGCCATGGACATGGGGTCGAACTCGGACCTCAGACGCTTTTTCAACTGCTGTACGAGGACAGTGCGTCGTCGCGCCATAGAGCACGAACTCAGCATACTCGGTTTACCCGTGTACACAGAGCTGCAGGCCACGGATGGCTCCCTGCTTCGTCAGTATCGCTCAGCCCCAGCCCGTCCCTTGACGTTGTCCGACGATGGGCTTGACCACGCCATTGGGAATATCCTGGAGGTGTTCCCTCACTTTGGACGTAGGATGATCCATGGCCATATCAAGGCTCAGGGTCAAAGTATTGCACGCAAGCGCATAGAAGCCTCGTACGAGCAAGTGCTTGGTGCACCGGCCGTCTTCGGTGCTCGACGTCCACTAGTGTGGCGCAAATATTCAGTACCTGGCCCACTTTCCCTTGTTCATCATGATGGACAGCACGGTGCGTTTTGTCCGCTCTGTTCTGCCAGTACTCGTTGACTTTTCTGCAGGGCTCATCCACTTCAAACTCATTACACATTGCTTCATTGACGGCTATTCGCGGTTTGTTCTTGGAATCCGAGTGCACAGCAACAACCCGCGCGTCCACAGTGCTGCATTTATTTCAGGATGCGGTGGATCAATTTGGAATTCCAAGCCGTGTACGGGGGGACCATGGCACCGAGAATCTCGGCGTAGCGCAGTGGATGGAGGAAAATAAGGGTTTAGATCGGGGATCATACATCTGGGGCCGGTGCGTGAATAGACCTTCACTATGCAGGAACCCTCACGGACGTGATGGCCAGGGGCGTTCATAATACCCGGATTGAACGTTTATGGGTTGATGTGACCTCCGGGTACGGTGAGAAGTGGCTTGTATTTTTCTGTCAGCTCGAGATACACTGGGGGTGGGACATCCACAACCCTGACCATGTGTGGCTACTTCACCATCTATTCCTACCCGCCATCAACCAACATGCTTTGGAGTGGGCAGAGGCATGGAATGCACATCGTATCTCAATGCAGGATTCTCGTCCCCGAAGCCCACGGGATATGTTCACCTTTGGGATGGTCCAGGAAGGCCCACGTGGACTCGAGCAATTCTTAGAGCCAATTGATGACCTTACTGGCGAGTCCCTAGACGATTTTGGCATTGATTGGGGCACCTATCGGGATGACAGAATCATGTCACATTTTTTTGAGCACAACCCCATTGAAAGTGCAACATTTACCCCGAGTCTTGTGGAACTGAGTCAACCAACCGCGCATGAGGAGAAGACTTTGACGGAGGCGGAGAAACAGGTGACAGCGCTCCGCTGGCAACCAATCTTGCAACGTCTTGATCTGTTTGCAAGTACACGTGGCGTACAGCGGAGTCATTACGAGTAGGCAGAGGCCTCGTAATTAATTCCGGCTGTGTCGAAAGCATATTAAAGTCTTTTTAATATACACCATGTCCCTACATATGCATAGGGAACCTCGCAAGAGCAGCTAAGATTCGAGCGGCTACACCATTGGCGTACGCCTCACGCTCAGCTTCTGAAAGGTCAGAGACCATCCGACCACCTAGTTCAACCCACTGAAAAATCGAGCCACCGGTCCAAAACACAAGAGAACCTCGCATCCCCTTGGAGATGAGAAGGGTATTGTAGTGGGTAAACAAGGCCGATGGGATGAACACGGGCACGCCGGGGCCCACCTCGATCTCATAACCAAGTTCTGCAATGCCAATTCGGCAATCTTGCGAAGGATCGAAGGTTCCGTATGGCATAATACAGCACAAGCCAGGGCCATAGTTGGTGGAGTCGAGGTGGGGCAAAGTGACCACAACGCCGACGTTGAAGGCAAATGAAGTAAAAGGGTAGAATAGGGCCTCCAAGCCCGCATCCTGTCGCAGAACGTAGTCGAGAGTGGCCGCGTAATGCGCATATAGAGCAGGAAATTGAGACTTGAATATACCTATGTCGGCTTCTATGTGAGGTTATGTGTACAGATGTATGGTTTAAACCCACCGTTTACGAGTGCGACCACTGGCTGCAGGAGTTTCCCAAGCTCGTGCACCACGTCGGTGTGCTTGAGGTAGTAAAGAGACATGCGAGGCCTCTGTCTCGCTATGGTCAACCTCTGGAGGCTCACATTCGGAACGGAGAGCGCTCACCACCTGATTGTCCCGGTGCAAGGTGAAATAATACTGGAGGAAGTTTCCCCGACTGGAACCGGAATACGTCGGCTTGATGCCACTCTGTCGCAAGTACTCTACAGCGGCTATTGCCACAGAGTTGGCGTGGAAGGTGGCCGGCCCTGTGAAGGAGCGGTAGATGACGAGCCGCCCTTCAGAGTCACAGATGTATGCAGCCGTGCTACCTCCAATTTGAGCTCGGTTGTATGAAATGCACTTGAATTGGCCCTTACCCATTGGCGCACTCGATGACTTCTCGCCGGAGTGGGCGCTCTGATTTGACGCGGCTCCCGATGTAACCTCCGGGCATCTTCCTCTGGGCCAGGGAGGTCGTACTCTGCACGCGCGTGCCACTTTCCTTCTTCTTGTTGGCACGAGCCACAGCGCGAGTAACTGTCCTCTTCCCAACGTAATCTCGCCGGCGTACAGTGCGGCGAGGGCCGACTCCCCCGAGGGTGGCATCGAGGTTGGTTACTGAATCTGCGCATTCACGAACGGCAGGGGTTGTGTTGGATATATCCCGTGCACCAGAGCCGTCGCTCTGGCTGCAACCAAGATCAGCAGAGCTACCTTGTGTTCAAAAAGTGAAGGGCCATGCCTGTTTGGGACAACAATAGCAGGAGTAGCGTGGTCCGGCTCCTCGGTCCTGCCCTCTTCCGCCTTCCAGACCGCCTCCAAACGCTCTCTCATGGAAACCTCCCCTCGATAGTCCAAACCACCCTTCGCAAGAGCATCAGCGCGATGAAAGAAGCGGGCGAGTGAGCAGGCGTACCGTCAAAGGCATGGCGGCGTTGCTGGAGCCTGTGTAACACTGGGTGAGCCCATCATGCTGGTCAATCCTGAGGCAAAAGCCGACGACAGATAGCAGGCCGCAGGCAGCGCGAGCGATAGAGGTCTCCTTCGAGCTCGCGCTACCTACCGCCCGCAAGGCCTGTGTACATGCGGCAGATGGGAAAGGTAGGCGGAGCACCACCCCATGGGCGATATGGGTCTCCTTCAAACCCATGGGACGGTGCTCTGCCTGAGATAAGAGAGCAGCGTACCGAACGACGAGGAGATCCCAAGACTAGCGCAGAGGAAGTGCAGCGGCGGAGTGATGGGACAGCTCGCGCAGTGGACGGTTGGGAGGTGGGGGGTGGGAAAGGGTCGGCGGGTGAATTTATGGTAAACCGCCAAAAAAATTTGTTGTGCGCTGTTGACGCGTTTTGTTGACGCGTCTCCTTTGTTGACGTGTTCTGTTGACGTGTTTTGTTGTTGACGCGTCGCGCCTCCACGTGTACGTCCATATGCGGCAGGTGCTGTCCTTCGCCCTCTGGGCTCGAAGGCGGCCCTACTCTTCGCGGCTGCTGGGACTGCTGCTCCCAGCTTCACGCCCCTTCATCTTGAGGAAGGAATCGATCCAGAACGCGAGCACTGCATCAAAACGGCGGCGAATGCGCCTCCCCGGTGTGGCTTCTCTTCTCGACGCAAGAAGCGCGGGCGTGGGCGCAGTGCAGGGACGGGGTGGCAACGTACGAACGTACGAGCGTACGAGATGCGTCACCGGTCAGAGACTGACGCGAATCCCGCCTTGTCCGTGTCGCAGATTCACGCCTTCCAGGGAGTCCCTGGCGGTGCACTTGCGTTTGCTAGGTGCTCCTCGAGGGTGCGCGGAGGTGGCGGGGGAGGCGAGCACTGCTGCGTCGAGGGACGAAGGTCGAGGGGGAGGACGTCGAGCGGAGGCCGGCGATCGAGTGCGGATGGGTAGGTATGCGGGCAGGACCTCGCAACACACCGCCCGCATCTGCGTCCACGAAATCCGCATGAAGGTATGTGCGCGTTTATTCGCGTTTCGTGCGGGCGTTTATGCCCTCGGAGGAAAAGAAGACCCGCAAGTTCTCGCATTTGGGTTTGGTAGACGGTGAGCTCATTCAATTTGTACGCCAAAATCACTTCTCAAGCACGCGGAAATTCTGCATCCGTACTCAGACAAATATCTGCTCTAGGGACGACCGCCTCAAGCTACCAGGGCCCCGGCGTCTCCCGCGAAGACGCGCATCATTACGCTTTTCCTCGTCCGGATTCGTTCTCTTCACAGGCAGCGCACCTAACCTTTTCGCGGATCTGAGGGCAAAAGAAGTGGGGGCATGAACCTTGAAACCGGGAGCTCGCCAGGGGATCGGGAGCCTTCATTGGCTCCCCGGAGGACTTCTCTTGAGCCGCGTCGAAAAGTGCGTTGATGCGCCGCTGGGCCGCAGATGTTTCGTGAGAAGTCGTGACAGAAACACCGTCCGAAACTATCGAGACATCATGTAACGAAGGAGAGCGGCTTATGTTGTCGTCGCGATCACGTTCCCGCTCGACAATCAATATATATCTACCACAATAAGTTACTCGAATAGTATTGAACTGCCTTGCAGGAGACCACACAGACAACGTACAGCTACATATGTCGTGCTAGAAAAGTACAAGGAGAACGGAAGGGGGCTATGGACTAGGAACTTCGTCGATGGTGCGTGAAAAGTGACAGCAAGAACACAGCGGATCGAACCAGGAAAGCAGTTCGTAAGATTAGAACACCCATACGGTCGTGTAGAGGATGTCCTGGATGTGCTAGGCACCAGATCGGGCTTCATTACCACGGAATTGCCTCTGACAAAGACCGGCATAGGTGCCAATTGGAGACAACGTCGAGACAGGGGCAACCGGTGCAACAGACAGAGCCCGGAGAGATGATATTTGAGCGATGCTCCGCGTTGGAACCGGCACCCAGGCGATACCTCTTGAATTAGGCTGAAATCGAGTTCGAGCACTGCAGAACAGGGTGAGCGTCAGCCTGGCAATGGAATGACAAGATTGGTGCCTCTTGACCTTGGCCTTGGAGTACTCAAACTTTGGTGCAGACGCCAAGGTGCCCCACACTCACAGAGGGCCTCGGGCGACCAGCTGTTGGTAGTCTAAAGTTGTTTAGCCCCAAGCAGAACAGTCATCCGAGAATTAAAGGGCACGTACTGAGTAGAATCCGCCACAATCAGTGGCGATATATCCCCCCTTGGCCATTGCAACAAGTGTGCCGGATTGAGCTCGAACTGTGTGCATGATCCAGGGGTGTCCACAACCAGAGCAAGGCTCCTGCGCACCATCGGCTTCCTAGGGAGGGATTTTACTACCCACGACGTGGGAGACGAGGCCAGAGCTATACTTGCCCAGTGACCCCGAAAAGCCAGTGCCAAGAGCCGATCCTTCTCAGGAGCAGACGTGAACTCCAGCCGCAGATCGCCGAGAATTTCGTTTTGCAGAGTCGACTCGCCCCAAACGAAGTCCTTAATCGAGGTCGAGAGCGGCATTTCCTTCACCTTATTATTGAGCTTCTGAGCGACGACCACAGAGAGAATTTCGACGGCTTTCAAGGGAACATCTTCAACCCTAACGGGCAAGCCGAGACCGGAGCAGCAGGGACAGTAACGGGCACAGCTGCTGGTGCGGGAGTAGCAACAGCTTCGGGAGGGGACTCGACAGCAGCAGCCTCACCCTGATCCGTGAACTGGTAGTACACCTCCTTGGTGTTCTTCGCATGACAAAGGATCGCACGACTTCGGCTAACCGAATCCTCTTGCACCTCCTACTTCGCTTTCAGAGTCCTCGTCGCCATGCCTGTAAGCGCTGACGAAGGTTCGCTCTCGATGGAACGCTCGAAATCGTAGTGGTGGGCAATACCCCACCTTCTCCATGCTCATCTTCAGGTAGTTCAAGATGTTGGTCATGGTTTGCAGAGCGACCAATTCATCGGCACAGGCATATTGTTGACCTGGCAACGAAACAAAGTATGAATTGAGAGAACCATGTCAACTTCATTAGTTTTATCCACGGCATACGTTGTAATTGACGATCTCGAGCAAGCACTGTGTGTGCGGTGAGCGATATCGTCGATAACCTCGCGCAGCGCAGTAGCCGTGAAAGTCTTCGAGATGCGGCTTGGGCTCACCGCGCACAGGTGGAAGGGTTCTGAGCTTCACGCTCAACAGCGCGTGGCATAGTGATACCACGGTAGAAGACGACGTCAAGAAGGGACGAGATGGGGAGGACGTCAGCAATAGATGCGAGAGCCGAATATTCTCCCAAAGAGCATCCGGTGAATGCGGAGTCTTCTGATCAAACGAAGTCTTTCGAACGCATGTCCTCGAAGACGGCACGTTCGGTCATGACTTGCGCGATCGGCCAAACTGTGTGGCACACAAGAGTCCAGATAGATGACTGAATGTGTAGCAGAAGAGTCTTCACGCTACCGTCCCCGTCTATATTGTCGTAGTTCATATACATGTGCCGCTGCTGCATGGCCTGACCCTTGATGCCACCAAAATGGATAGTCTTCTCCTCCAGGTTGTCCTTGACGATCTCAATAATAGAGAAGCCATAGACAGCAGTAAGATGAATATCGGCAGCATCCCAGACAGATCGAGCAGCTGGAGCGGACTTATAGAAGTCCATAGCCATACCCTGCTCTTGGGAACCTTGGCCAGTGAAGACAAAGACGGTCTTAGGCTACGCGACTTCGGCAGTGCGTTCCAAAACCTTCTCACCCTTGTCATTGAATGTCTCGACCTTGACAACAGTGTTGCCATCCTGTATGTCGCTGTGCCTGGTCTTCATCCGAAGCTCATCCCCAGGAATGACCATTCCTACGAAGGCGACGTCATATCTGGTGCATTCATCAGTGAGAGCTACACATGTCATATCGGACGGACTTACGCGACAACTCGCTCCGGGCGACCTTGCACAACGACCGTCTCAACGTAGCGCCTGGCAGCGAGCTCGACCACATGCTGTGCGTGATTGTGGGGGAAACACCTGCCAAATCGGCGAAGTAGGAGTTGACGTGGATGGGATTGAAGTTACCAGAGGCCTCGGAGTAAGGCTCGTTCGTCGCCGAGAAGTTGAAGACGGCTGCACCCGCCTTCGTCATGGTGTACCCATTCAGAAGAGGCACTCAGAGACCTTGGGGCTTGCAGGGACGCGAGATAATTGGGTTACCCCCGCTGTCACGTCCTGCAGGAAATCAACGGCACCGACCTAGATTAGACGTTTGATCTGGTCGCGGACACAAATGTCGCTGGAGACTGGTATCGACTTGCAACATGTCTTGCTACGGTAGGTGACCTCGAACTTCACACAGCCTGAAGCAGTTTCGACGGGCGATCCCACTCAAACCACTCCTCCGACTGCAATACTCCCACGTCAGCTTCGGTCGCCAATTCTATGGAGTTTCGGTCGCCAATTCTATGGAGTAATCCAGAGCACCGAGAAATTCGAATGTGTTGTCGTATTCGGAGTAGTTACCACGGTAGAGGAAAGTAGACACAACCTCGATTACGGCCTTTCTACCTCCGATAGCGAAGCCTTTAACTCACACAGCCTTGCCGGCATTGCGGTTGACAACGGAGACAATGTGTGTCTCAACCCTGAAAACATCACCCGCCTGAAGATGCTTAGAGTCATCAACAAGACGGAAGCCGTACGACAGATGGACGAGCTCAAGAAGATCGCCGTCAATGGTCGAAGGAAAGATCGTATCTTCTGTGTGAAGTTCTGTAACCGCTTGTTAGCGAAGTTGACGCAGAACTGATCTAGGGAGTTCGGCCGGCTAGTCATGTTCTGGGGGCCGGGTAAGTCAAACAGTCCGATGAACATATTGAAGTCGTCGTGGCAAAGGCGTTGGTTGACGTGTTCGTTCAACCATGCAAACAGGAGGGAGTATAGCGGCTTCACGAGTTCGTCTCGGTTATCAGAGGCACCGTCGGGATCCAGGAAGATTGTACATAGTTCCTTCTTCCCCATCTTCGTTCTGTACGATAGCGCAGCCTCCAAAGCTTCCGGCTGCACGTCCAAGAAATCTGCGACGATATCGAGGACATCCGTGTTGCCCACGACAGCAGCGTCTTCGTTGCGAGAGCGATCGGTATGGAATTCCAGGTTACCCAGATGGAGAATAGCAGCAACCAGCTGGCACTTCTGCGCGACATGTCTTTTCGAGAATCCCACGTTCTTCAACGCCACCTTCAACTGATCCAACCGCACGGCATCCTCATCCCAGATGCACGAACCATCTCGCGAGGCATACAACTTGAAATGGCGGGGAGATGGACATCAATTGGACAGGTGACACACATGAGAGAGTCCCTTGCAGACAGTCGTGTCTACAGGGAACCCCATCAAAAGGAATCAGCTGGGGACAATCGTACCCGACACGCCAACTGTCCAAGTCGCAGGGATGCTGGACCTTCACGAACCGGTCATCCAATGGCCAATGGCGAAAGTGAACCGTAAGGCGGGGGTGCATTTAGCGAACTGGATCTATGATGCACGGACGGACCATACTACGAGGTGTACTTCTCGCGGAGTGCCGTGAGCGAGCTCGATCGCACGATCTGCTCTGCACACTGCAAGTCAGACATGTCTTGCGACGCGCATCACGAAAGGTTTCTGCTGAACATAATCCGCAGGCTAGAGTCAGCGAACCCTCTTCGATCTCTCCCGAAAGATGTCACGTACCAGTAACAGCCCGCTCACGTTGACGTCCTAGTCCCTACAGTCCTTAGCGGTCCTGGACGTTCCGTGGTGGCCTCACGGAAGCACTCAACCTCTACTTCCGCTCCCTCGCCACTACAAGTTTGCCTGACAGTGCTCTGATGGTGACGGTCTACGTGGCCACGGCTCACGATCGGCCCGCGGACGGCGCGGTACAGGCCTTTCTTGCAAATGCACAACGACGACGAGAATACATCTGGCAGTTCGAGTTTCACGACGAACTCGTTGCATAGTCCACGCACCGGGCCCCCAAGCTGACCGCAGCCATTGAGAACGCAAAGACAGAGGTTCTGGCTCGAACTGAACGATGGACATGTTTGTGCAACACGTCATTTTTGTGTTGAGCAATAGTGGTCTCGATCTCGATCGCATCTTGCGCACCTCGGTAGCAAGCCTACCAACGATAAGTCTTCGCGTCGCGTCGAACGTAGGGAATTCTGCATGCAAGGAACGCAGGATAGGGATGAAACTGTCAACGATGAGGCCTGCTGTCCCCCGCTTGTCCGGTGCGAAATCGATGAGTTGAGATATATGAGGCTTGACCGCCTGAGTGAGCTGTGCGGTAAGGCCCTCATAGTCGATAGGTTCGGGCGTAACGCTGCAAGCTGCGGTACCAAGAACTTCGTGACCACATGAACGACGGACTCCTTCTCTACCTGCGGAGAAGACCTCGAGATATCCATCGTCTGGAAAAATGAGACACATGTCAGGAATGTCTACGACTTTGCTTCCGCCATCTTGATCGAGATCCTCGTTTGCTTCTTGCACGGCACGCTGGGTGGGAGGGATATATCCACTGCACGCCTCCGCCTCGGCATCTTCGGCAAGCGGAGGAAGGGCAGTGTCCGCGCAGGAGAGTTCAACGTCTATGCGTTGCTTCTTGAAGATCGAGTTCCGAGACGCCTTGGAAAGATAACGCGGTGGAAACTCGGTGTCGACGACTTTTTTCGAGATCGACTCTATCACCGGCATAAAGCCCTACATCGAGCGTTAGCCGATGGAAATTTGAAGCCGACGTGTGCGCGTAGCTGAAATGACTCACTACGGGGAGGGCATACAACTTGCATGCTGACGATCGGACGAGCAGCATCGCCCGCCAGAGACCAACAGGTGTAGATGTCGATTCATACACGCTACGTCTGCGAAACAATCGACGAGGGCGAGTAATCGTCGCCATGTTACGCACGGCACACCAGCTAGTCGTGTCGGCATCACGACCCTCTGGCTGCATCGCTGAGCCATTGGGAGCTACGCACGAGCACAACGAGCGGCGGCTGGCTAAACAGCGGCAGGGAATGGTAGGGAGTAGGGTAAATAGCGGTCAGAAGCGGGGAGCAGGTATCGCTATTTCCGAATATGGATACGGGGCGCGGGAAGTACTCGGCCACCTAAGGGATTAGACTGGCGAAATCAACGTTTTATTACATAACCACCGATTTATGAACAATTTCTAGGATTTTTCTCAGGTATCTAGTTAATAAATACACATGTACACTACCAAATGTGAGGAAACCATGTAAATGGAGGTCACCATCGCGCGTGATATGTCGTGACATGGAAAGCTCTGGAAAAGTTGAGCAGAAAGGGCGGGAGGCGGCAGCGGCGGGACATGCCGGGACCCCCGCGAATCAACTAAGAGCTCCGATCCCGGTGACGATTAGTCTCGTGACCAGACGTTCACGTGCGACTTACCGAAAACGGACAGAAAGAGAGGGAGCAGAACGTCTGGTGAAAGTCGTGTAGAGCGGAGGGGGTATGTAACGCTCTCCCCATCAGGAAATCCATGAGGGTGTGACAAGGCATTAGCTACGATTGTAATGTAAACAATTTCCGCACTATGCATCAGTCTTGCGTTCATTCTGGTCAGGCCTTTTATAGGACAGTTGAGTTGCTGAACATCTAACTGAAGCATCGGCATGCTGTGGGGTTATCGCAGTCAGCACAGCTTGAACTTGTAAGATCATATGCATTTCCACAAGGATCAGGCATTATAATTGATCCCACATAGTGCTTAAAAAGAAAACATATCCATTTTTTGCTGTAATGTAAATCTATCTGCATTATCTACGAAAACCGTGCCCATATGGCTACACCCCAGGTTCCACGTCGTAGGTGGGCATGGCGAGCACAAATCCCGAATCCGCAGAGTGTACCGACGCAACACCCGCACCTTATCGCTCGACCCCAGCGGCCATTCCGTGAGTGTCCCGGCATCTTGATGGTCCAGGTCGGCCATCCAAATAGTCCTCATCGTCGGCCATCCACGGTCCTCATCCACGGTCCCCGCAAGTCGTCGTGAGTCATCGGCAAGCCAAGCCCTGCGCGCCCACGATCCGCGGTGCTGGTCAAACATCGGCCCTCCATGGTCTCGGTCAAACGTCGGCCCTCCACGGTCCTGGCCAAATGTTGGCCCTCCACGGTCCTGGCCAAATGTCGGCCCTCCACAGTCCTGGCCAAACGTCGGGCCCTCCACAGTTCTGGTCCGAGGTCGGCCTCCTCACCAACGGGGCTAGCCTTCCAGAGCGATCTTCGCGTCCGTTGTCTTCGGCCAACAGTGGGGAGCCCGAGCAGTGCGCCATTCTCAAAGGCAGGGAGATGGAAGCGGAGCAGCGGAGATGAGAGAGGGTTCGAACCGCAGCAAGCAAATACTCCGCACCAACTCCGCCCTGTGACTTTCCCTAGCCCCACGAACTGTGTTGTAAGCCCGTTCTTGCTCGGAGAGCAAGCTCTCCCGACCCAAAAGTGAAAGTGTCCTTTTTACACAGTTGTTGTGCGCTATTTGTTTTGTGGCACTGTCTGCCCTCGTCTCCGAGCAAGTTCCGCCGCCGCCTGGCGGCCTTTCGAGTTGTGAAATAGAACTGCATCCGTGTAAACCAGCTGGTTGGGTGGTGAGGTTAATGTATGTGATGTGATTTGATTCCGAGACCTTGAGTTCGAACCTTCTTCGTGTATTTATTTTAGACGCTATGGTTTTGAAGCTTCACTGGCAAGTCTTGCGGACTTTGTCATTTTTTTACAATAATTTTGCTAGATTTTAATGTCTGACATGCCCGACAAACGACGGGAAGACGCGGGGCACTCCCGACTTATCCCGAGACACCCGCTTAAGCGCCGAAGTTCAAAAGGTGCGCGGTGACAGAAAAAGTGTGCGCGGGATTAATTTTTTGAAGACCGCGTCATAATAGGCACGAGAGATGATGCGGCTTCGGGCTATGCAAAGTATGTACTAGTTACGACAGGATGGCGGTCATACTGTGTAAGGAGCTCAAGCATTCAACTATACGGAGGATGAAATAAATTATATCTTCAGTTGCAAGTATTTTATTCAAGAAGTATGTCGAATTATCGATACTCCAAGAAATGAGCTTTATCTACAACCCCGTAAACGAATTCACGGCGTCGTCAAATCTACATAGTGTCGCTTGGTGCCAACCTTCGCTGTCGTGAAGTACTCAGAGCATGCATGGCCAGGAGAATAAAGTGCGCGATGCGACATTAACTTCTCGCAGAACGGGCAGCGAGTGAGGATGCGGGTTAATTCTGTGTACCTGACACCCGGGTCCACAGTAGCATCTAGCAGGCCGAAGAGCCGGGAAGCCTCATTCGCGGATGGTGCTTCGACTTGGTAAGCTAGAGTGTTGATGCTCGGAGGCGGTGACCAAAAGCGCTCGAGGCTGTCAAGATAGCCGTGGTCATAGCCTGATGAGCAGAATGAGCGATTACATGAGTACAACTAGAGACAAAACTATCTCACAGTTGGGAGGCTGTGGGTCATCCGGACCAAGCTCCTGCCGGGTTTCTTGACGTGCCCCATACTGGCTAAGAGGAGGGGAGCTCATAGAGTTTTGAGTCGAAGATGAGCTGGACGAAGGTGCACTGCAGAGCTCTTGGGGTACTGCAGCATGGAGGGGATGATCGCCGCGAACGTAGGGGGAACATGTGGGCGACGCTTGCTTGAAAGGAGGCTGCCAGTCGAATTGACTACTCACTCCACTCAGTTGAGCCAGCAGAGACGGAGATGAATGTTCAACGACGATATCTGCACGGTAGATATATCAGATTATGTGAGGGAATGAAGGCGAACAACATCATGCATTATATCATCGACATCGGAGTAGACATTCATACCTTTGTTGCTAACTGTCCTTATCGCTGAGCCGAATCTTTGCTGCGCGCGAGACGGTGGGGCCGAACAACTACGGGCCATCCCTGTGATCTGGCTGGATGGGCGGTCGGCTGCGCAATAGCCAATTAAGTTCACCATATGAGACAAATCACCGAGAGAAAGCACATACCTTCGCGAAGAGGGTATGTTCTCCGTTCCAAATCAGGATTCTCCTCCAGGAGATCATACAGGTCCACTGGGGTTGCATAACAGCAATTGATCAGTAGACACCAAACATGATGAGAAAGGGACAAACCGAACATGGGACAGAGAAAATGGGAGCATATAAGAACAGGACGGCCCTTGTTCAATGACTTGTCGGACTCGGGGATTTTAATCTGGCACGGGTGAGAACTGCGACCGGGGAGGTGTCCGCACAGGCAGCGAGGCTTCTCCCACTCGTACATCTCCGCATAGAAGTCCAACAAATACGGAGTGACAGCGTCGCCATTCGGGTATG